AGGGACCATCCACAGGCCCAGGGAGAGGAGGAGAGCGCCAGAGTGAAGTCTGCCAGTGTAGGGGGTAGGGGGGTAGGGTAAGTAATACAGTGTAAGTAGGGGTACGGGAAGTAATATCTCCTCTTCTTGTACCCCCCAGATCTAACGAGCATTTAACCCTCGCAGTACGGGGGGGCACGGCAAGGTTTTTTTTTGTCTTTTGCCCAGAGTTGGGCCTTAGAAAAGAGCCTCCCTGAGTTTTATGCTTGTGCAGCTTGGACAATGAGTGATGTATCATTCTCGGAACTGTATAATACGCGAGGAAGGAACCCAACGGGGGCCCGAATGTCTGCATCTGTAATAAGTTAAGTCGGCCAATAAACTTCAACTCCAAACTTTCCACATATTTACATAAGTAGAAAAAGTGCTGAAATCCAAATATAAAATGTCACATGAAACTTCCTATTTTTCTGATGGGTTATACCAGGTGATCATTGTAGAATCATGCCCCGCCCCCAATACTAATAAGTAGATACGAATGCCAACTTGGATCGAGGTCGTTAATGTGTCTTATCCCTTTGTACGAGTGGGGTCCCCCCCCCTTTTTTTTCTCCTGTCCTTTACCCCACTATTGTATCAATTTATGTCTATGTATATTCATGTTAAATGGTTGAAAATGGTTAAATAAAATAATTTATAAACAATAATTATAAGTATTTCCAGCAGAGACGTCATCATTTCACCCGTACAGTACACAAGGGCCACCATTCATCAACGCATGGGAGTGTGGTGCCAGGAAGTGTTGAACGGTTCCATACCGGGGCAGCGGAGAGATTAAAATGAATTTGGATCTGAGCTGGCAGTGTTATGATTGCCTCTAAATCTCACAGGTCATTTTTCATTTCTCACCGACAGCTGAAGAGTCCAAACTTCTTCTGTTAATGGGAAAAAATGCGCTATGAGCGATTATTATTATAGGGATGGTGGGAGCTCCTCATAATAGGCACAGCTGGTGTAGAGACCCAGGAACTCAGCACAGGGATGGTGGGAGCTCCTCATAATGGGCACAGCAGGTGTACAGACCCGGGAGCTCAGCACAGGGATGGTGGGAGCCCCTCATAATGGGCACAGCAGGTGTACAGACCCGGGAACTCAGCACAGGGATGGTGAGAGCTCCTCATAATGGGCACAGCAGGTGTACAGACCCGGGAGCTCAGCACAGGGATGGTGGGAGCCCCTCATAATGGGCACAGCAGGAGTACAGACCCAGGAACTCAGCTCAGGGATGGGGGGAGCCCCTCATAATGGGCACAGCAGGAGTACAGACCCAGGAACTCAGCACAGGGATGGTGGGCACTCCTCATAATGGGCACAGCAGGAGTACAGACCCAGAAACTAAGCACAGGGATGGTTGGAGCTCCTCATAATGAACTCAGCACAGAGTTTTAACCTTAAACTCCGTGAGAGATAAAAGAGACTGTCAGGTGGTTTAATTCAACAGCATTTACCAAATGATGAAATATATTCAGTTCTGGGTGGAAAGACTCATTAGAATTTATTCTTCAAAAGCTGTAAAAGGGGAAAAGAGTAAAATGACGGATGACGACTACGGGTTTTTAAGTGCATAGAATCAGCATGCAGCAGGTAGAAGAGACAAATCCAGCACAATGACCGGCGCTCCACACCTAATATTAGCGGGGTCCGGCCCTGTGTAACAGACAACGCCTGGCATGATGTGACGCAGCCTCTGTAAATTGTGTAACACTGATGACCCCACACACATTGTATCTCGGGACCCATTCGTCACTGGCGTAACCAGAGTTTGAACAGGAATCCTCTATGAGTGCTCCTGTTCATTGATAACAGAGTATGTTTACATTAACCACAATCATGAATGGACAGGAAGTGATGTAGGTGTGATGTAGATCACTTCCCATTCATTCATAATTGAAGATACAGTAACCATACCATGTCCTCAATTATCTACAAACTCTGCACTGCTCACTCTCCTCTCTGACACGCTGTCACAGGAGGCTGAGCGAGCAGTGCACGGAGGAGAGCCCGGCCTCCTGTGACAGCGCTGTCTCCGCCCCCACACCGCTCTGCCGGACTGTGATAGGTGGCTGAGCGGTGTGGGAGGAGAGACACCGGCCTCTCGCAGCGGTCTCCTCCCACAGCGCTCGGCCGGCTGTCACGTTCTCTCCTCCCTGCTGGGACAAAGAGCAGCGCCCAGCGGGGAGGAAAGAAATCACAGATGCGCCAACAAAACGGCAGGAAAATGGCACTTTCGGCATTTGGCCAAAAGTGCAATTTTCGGCCGGCGCCCCCCTTCAGCTTTACGCCCGGGGCCAGCGCACCGGCTGCCCCCCCCCGGTTGTTACGCCACTACGCCACTGCCATTCATGGCAATTGTCAGGACAGGACGTCCTCGGGAAACGCAGAGATGGAAGGCGGCCAGCGCCGCAACACAAGTTTGTTTTATAGCCGGTGGGGGCCCCGAGGTCAGGGCGGAGCAGGTTGGTGTCATCACAGATTAAGCACATTTGGTAATGAGACAGATGTGGAAGGTCAGAGGAACGTGAAGAGTAAACCCTCCCAAACGTAGTGACATCTGACGTTGTCTTGTTACTCTAAAAAGACCAGAAAACAAAGTACTCCAGCGTCAATCATTTCCTTCCTCGGGTCTTGTTACTGAATATTACGTCTGCTGCAAATTTTCATCTTTCCCTTCATCATGAAAGTCGCTATGTTTTTGGACAAGGTTTACAATTAGTATTGTATAGTTTTTTTGATGGGTTGTTTTGTTGGTGGGGGGAGGGGGAGGGGTGTATATTTATTTTCTATATTTAAAAAAAAAATCACATTACAATAAAATACAGAACAATATGGTGCACTGCCACTTTAAATTTTTCAACATATAAGCTATTCAGGTGTTTTTCCTTTTTGTCTATAAAGCCTCAAAAAAAACAATAAAATACACCAAAAAAAAGGAAAAAAAATAAACAAAACACAAAGAAAACATACTCATGAGCCAATCAACTTAATCTATCAGAATATTATCTTTTTCTGTGATTCCAATGAAGCAGTTTTTCATTAAAAAAAAATTTTTTTCCTTAGGCCCCATTCACATTGAGTGGATTGCCGCGCGATTTCTGCTGTGATATTGCGCATTTTTGCCGCAAGATATCGCGAGAAGTCGCCGGCCAATGATATTCAATGGAGCTGTCTTAATGTGCAGCTCCGTGTCACCCGTCGCTCCAGCAGGACCTGTTTTTCTGCGGATGTTGCGCGATTTTTCTATTTTTGAATGCAGCCCGACGGTGAAGGTGGCGTGATCAACGCTGGAATGTCGCCTGAAGAGTCGTGCTATCCCGCTGTGAGGAAATCTGCTCGAGGTGAGTTTCACTCAGTGTGAATGGGGCCTCAAGTGACATCAGACAATTTGGTTTATTCTCACCTACATCATTCACCTGAGAAACAATGTAGGCTTATAATGACAGTCGGTCTTCTGTTGTCTTATCATACCGTGTTTCCCCGGAAATAAGACAGACACTGTCTTATATTTTTTGGGGCTTCAAAAAACACACTAGGTCTTTTTTTTTTTTTTAATGTATAACAAGTTAATGCAAATCCAAATTAAAGGAGAACTATGGGGTCAGGGCTTTTCCCCATAGTTCTCCTTAGGGTAACGGGAGGACACAAAACTAGCGTCCTCCCAGTCACCCTAAGCTCAGTATACTGAGCTGAGGTGAGCGCACGCCGGTATGTGTTCGCTCACCTCCCGATCTACTGAGCCGACCTGTGACAGTCTCATTGTCACAGGTCGGCTAGAACTATGAGGTGACTGAAAAGCACTCGCCTCATAGTTCTCCTTTAAATAATCCAAAATGGCAAAGTTAAGAATCAGGGGTGCCTTATCTTTCCATTCGTTGGCACTGCTGATTCGCTCCCGTGGTTCTTCAGGTTCCCCCTTATGCCACCACCTGCCCTGGCAATGGTCACAACTAGGCTTTATTTTCGGAGTAGGTCTTATATTTTAGCAATTCCCAAAAATAGTACTAGGTCTTATTTTTGGGGTAGGTCTTCTTTTCAGGGAAACAGGGTATTTCCTGTGCTGGAAATCTCAGCGCTGACAATTTACGCAGCACTTTACATAGCTGCACATTCCCTGTCTTCAAAGAGCTAACAATCCAAGGTCTCTATCTCACATGCAGGGCCAATTTAGACAGGAGCCTATTAACCTTTGTCTTTGGAGCGTGGGAGGAAACCCAAGCAAGCACAGGGAGAACATGCAAACTCCTTGCAGATAGTAACCTGGCCAGGATTTGAACCAGGGACCCCCAGTGCTGCAAGGCAGAAGTGCTAACCACTATGCCACTGTGCTGCCCTTATGGCTGTGTTTTAATTTTACTGCCACATTTGCCCGGGTATGTGTGTGTAGAAAGGTTAGACACCCCGACCCCTGTCAGGTTTTAATTGCAGTGTCCCCTCTGGACAGATTTCCTCTCACTTCCTGTGTCACTTACCATGACCACCAGCATAGGAAGTGAGGAAATTACACTTTTTTTTAACATAGTACATGAGGCAGTATCCCGTTTAACCATGCCCTTATCCTGGTACCTCCCCCGCGGAGCCTCAGGTTCACAGTGAGTTCAGAATTTATCCCACTTTTCTGGCATGGACTCACCAAGGACTGGGCGGGGTCTCCTTTAAGCACACATGTAATTGTTGCTCAGGTTCACTACAAACCCAAATCACTGACCAATGTCAGTTGCCAATGACAACCAGTTTTAGCCGCGCCCCTTCTCCCGTAACCACTCACTAAGGGGACCGACAGAATGCTCACAGCTATAGGTGGGCGGGATCATGTGGGAGGAGCCAATGACTGATGTAGGCGTTGACCGATCAGGGCAAGATCCCTCCAGTGCTTTCAGACCCCGTGACCCTGTCCGAGCGAGGAAGGGTGACGTCACCGAGAAAGGCGGTCCCCAATGGTTTGAACGTGCCTTTCTACAGACGATGTTGCTAAGACATGTACGTCACTTCCTGGATACAGGACGCGTTGCTGTTATCTCACTTCCTGGAGACAGGACGCGTCGCCATAGAGACAGTGAGAGACAGGCACCGCGGAGAAATGGAGGCGGACGGGTTGCTGCTGGGGATGGAGATGGTGTCCGGCTCCGGTGTGGGGCTGAGCTCGGAACAAAGCGCTGCCCTACGGACATCCCTCCTGCTCCTCCGCCGGAACGCGAAGTTGTCCGGGCTCCTGTTCTGGGGGAAGATCCTCGGAGTCCGAGGGGACTATTATATCTGCAGGGGCACTGAGGAGGAGGACGGCGGCGAGGAGCTGCGGAGGAGGCAGACTTTCTACAGGTGGGGGGGCCCTATACAGTATATAACC